GAGAAGAGTTTGCTACGTTTCCTAAATAATTTAGCAGCTGCATTCCCTCTTTTTTTTCAGGGAAAGGAATAGGTACATTTTGGCAGAGATGCACAGTGTTAATTTGACTCAATCATGCTCTGCCTAACAGAGCAGCTGCAGCCTCCCTCACCCAGGGTTGTCCCTGGGGCTCAGCATCCTGGCTGCCTCCACTCAGCACCTACCCTATGCCTCAGCAGTAGATAGCAACGTGGTATGGATTACAACCATGGCAACACGCCAGGCTTCAAGAACTGTGGTTTCCATCATGTGCATCCACCATGATTGAGTTACATTAATGCAACTGCACTTACATAGGATGAGCTTTCTTGAAAGAAAAATACCAACAACTTCTCAGCAAAGACAGCAGCGTTCCAAAATATTGGCAAAATATTACAGTTGGCGAGTAACATTTGGTGAACTCACTTGACGACTGCCTGAAAATTGCCCACGAACTGTTAGCAAGATTCTCAAATGTGCTCATTATCTGGAGGATTATCTTGATGTGCAGTCAGCTTGTAAAAGGTTTGCTGCAAATACTCTCAGTCTCCATCAGGTCAATTACTTACAGAAGTTACATAGCACTGCTTTCTGTGCTCCGGCTGGGTGGCTTCTCTGACTCGCACAGCATGAGCTGTGAATAGCACAATTACATGCACAACTTTGAGTCACAATATGGAAACACAATGCTAAACATTTGCTTTTTACAATCATCTACCCTAGCAAAGTTTGAGCCTTTGATTACTTACAGTACGACAGCCAGGTTGGGAAAACAGACAGATTGAATTAAAACACTTTTATAAACAAGGATCGAAGAGCCTAACGTTGCTTCCGCCTTGCTAAAAAGCTTTCTCTCACCCCACAGAACAAAGATAAGGAGGTGACACTTCCCTTTGCCTGTGCCAATGTCCCCAGACGTGACATACCCTATCCCAACAGACATAATCCAAAGCTCCCTGTGACAACCCATATCCTGCTGTTAGAGAGTCTTGAAATTTCAATACTGAAAATGTTCTGAAGAACTTCCGGGCAAACTGCTAAAGGAACCACAATGCAGGCATTGAAGTGCTTTCAGTTGTTACTTAGATGAAAGTAGTGACCATAGTTCACGTACTTTATTCCTCCTCTTTTCCAAACAGGTAATTAACACAAACGTTTCAATGCACTATAATTTGAGCACATTAATTTTACACTCTGATTTCATTCTGTGTAATTCACATCCTTGATACACAATCCCTGCATACTGCATGGCTGCAGAGTTTAGTTTCAGGTCACAGCACATGACACTGAAAAGGCAGTCTTGCTGTAACAGACTTTGATACTGTGAATGATTTTGCAAGATATCTTCAACACAGGAGTAATTCTAGGAAAGCCTGAGTTAGGCTCTTCTTTAGGTCAAAATTAGCATCATCTTTAATAACAGAATTTGGCAATCTCTAAAATTCCTGACTGCTAAATCATCTAAAAATATGTATTTCACTGCTTAGTTCATATTTCCTTGCCTAATCAAGCTATATATTTTCTTGCTTGTGCAAGATAAACGTTATTGGAATTACTGTGCAGGAACAACATTACCAGAAATAATGTGTAGGAGCATTTGCCCTATGGCCAAAAAAACCTGCAATAGCTACTTATCTAACACCCTCTGTGATCCTACAGTCAGAGAGATCAGTCCTGAAGGTGACAATAATCTCAGCAAATATAGCAGACCAAGACTCCTCAGCAAATTTTGTTTTGTATTTACACTATTCGCCAATTTTATTTGTGCTATTTTCTCCGTATTTAGCAAAAAGCTCAGGTAAAGCAGGTTTTTTAGGAATGTGAACTTTAATCTTCACATCTTCAACTCACAGGAGAGTAGGAATAGCAGAGACCCACCACAGCACAGCAGGGAGCTGTCTTTTTTTTTTTCCTCTCAATCTTCCTAAAAAATAATTAAACCAAAAATGTCACTTGTCAGGAGAACTACAGCCAGTTCACTCTTAACCACTTCACCTGCACTTTGCTCAAAAAGAACCACAAGGATGGTGTTAAACACTCCAAACCTAAGAACGTCACCAAAACTCTTATTTTTCTTCCAAAAAGAAAACAAAATAAACAAAAAACCTCCAAACTAAACATTCAACAGAAAAAAATAAACTTATTTCAAGAGACAGCAAGCCAAAAGCCAATATAAGAAACAGTTATCCTGGAGAGTTATCTGCAAGATTTCATAACTGAGAAAAAAATCCATAAAATAGCTTGGAATCTTTCTTCAAAATGGTGTAAGGCTTTTGTTGCTTCTAATCCTTTCAGAGTACACAAGATTGGACATCACAGCCATGATATTGCTGGACTGAAAAGCTGTTTTATGTAATTTTGCAGTTTGTAAGAAGCACTGGTTACAATTTTCCTTTCCTTCAGGTATCTGCACAGTATTTGTGGTAACTAATGCACCCACTTTTATTAAAGTACAGATGTAGAAGAATATACACGTTTAGAGAATACAATGTATTGTTTCCTAAAATAATCATATGCAGAATATTAGAAGTATTTGTGAGACCTTAATGCTGTAAATACACTGACTTGTATAGTTCTCACTCTACATCTCCAATCTATGACCACTGTATTTCTTAATGCAGTCTTCCAGACCTTACACTCATGTTTTCGTTACATTATGGCATTTTACACTTGGTTTTTTTCCCTGCTGGGGTTTCCAGCAAGGGTGCTTATCAAAGATTCATAACAAAACCAGAAAGAAAACCAATCTACCAGATCAGGGATGTGTTTTGCCTTTCTCAGAACTGTGTCCCAGTGACCCCAGTGGGTTGTTACAGGGACAGATCCCCTCCTCCAGACATCACAGTAGCATTTGTGCATATATTTATCACAACTGTATTTATTTATAAGGATGCACATGTGTGTGCCAAGATCATCATGTTCTGCAGCCCTATGGGGAAATTAAGGGCCTCACTGAAATATACTTTTCCCAAACATTTACTGCTACTGCTTGGTGGGAAAGGTCACAAACCCCTAGTCTTCTGACAAGCAGTGAGGGAGATCACACTTAACCTCTACCTCATTAAATTGCCCCAGTTATAGGGCAAAACCGACTGAAACCAATGAAGCTCTGAAACAGGCCACAAATTCACGTTATCCTATTTTGTGGAAGGGGAGAGGGGTATGTGGGTTCTGGTCATTAAATAACTAGAAGTGCATGGATAGCACCAGCCATGAGAATCTATAAGGAGATTATAGTCTGTACGTATTTAGCAAATGTTCAGATTGTTTCTCTGGTATTTTTACACCTCAGTGTGAAATACTAACACAGGATAACAGTCTGTTAACTCTGATAGCCTGCCTAAAGGGGCCTCTGCACAAGCCCTACACAACAGATCACCTGGCAGGAGACCCTGCCACAGGGCCACCGCCAGGGCCACACTGTCATCTGCTTTTGGAGAAAGAGAGACTATACATATCCAATGCGGGGGAGGCATGGGCATTTTGATATAATCCAAGCAACATGTCAAAGTGGTGTGGAAACAGAAAGTACATTTCTGACAGGGCTTCCATCTTTTTTATCTGAATGCATGTATGTTTTGTTCTATCTGAAGTAAATATTAAATATTTCAAAAACTCTTATGTAAAGCTCATCTGTTGCATGCTTCTACTGTCCTTTAGCTCTGAAGCAATGCACTGGTAAAAACCAGGAACATGGAGCCTACAGGCACTCTCCAGCTACTGGTGTGCCTTGGAGGAGTCAGCACTAATCCGGCAGGCTTAATGCAGCTTGTCTCATTTCCATTAAATGACGAGAAACAGAACTGGTTGCCAGGAAACACGCTAAAAGCAGAGCAAGCTTCAGGGCTGGCACATTCCCTGGATCCAGGGAAGCCTCAAAGCTCTCTAATGCCAGAGGCAGGACTGGCACAGTGAGGAAGGACTGCCAGCGTATGAACCCCGGCTGGGTAGGCAGGTGCTCTGCACATCACCCAGCAAAGTGACACTGCCAACAGGCTGCCATCATGGTTTGTGTTAAGATGGTATATGAATGATGTTTGCTCATGAAAAGTAAAGACTGGGTTGGCGGGAGAGGAGAAGGAAGCCAAGAAGAATAACTGAACTGTGTTAATTTATTTCTAGACTTTTATGGAGTCTACTTGGCCACTGATATTTATATGGGTAAGACAGCATATGTATCTCTCTCTCTCTCTCTTCTGTACCTTTACCAATCAGTCCCATTCTGTCTGATTTCCACCAAAGTATGCTCTTGTTAGCAGGACAGGCATTAACAACATTTAGACCAAATGAGATTTGTAGGTATTCATGTGCATAGTTGCAACCAATGCTATTAATCCTAAGATAAAGTACATTATTTTTTATTCTTCAAATAATTTTAAAGTGTTACGTTGCATATTTTGAAATATTTTCCAGAAAAAAAAAATGCTAGGAAGCAAGAAAATTCTAGAAAACACAAAATTATTTTCATATACCTTTAAAATTACTTAAATAGCCAACATGCTATATGCATGCTTAACTTTTTTTATATGTTATCATCTATGAGAAATTATCAACCATAAAAACATTACTTCAGTTATGCTGCTAAATTCTAGTACACTATCTTGCATTCTGGTACCTCATCAGGAGAAAAAAGGATATCTGAGAAATGCATTAAAACACTTAGCTTATTAACAGCCAGTCATATTTAAGCTCATCTTTCTTGCCTGAGGCTTTTATGATCTATCAATGGAAAATTTTTCTTCGTATTTTTCAGAAATAACAGAAAATTCCGAGAAATGGAAGCCGCTGCTAGTAAAAGAAGAAAAGCTGATTATCATCAAGGTTAATACCTCCTTTTTGAGATCCATGAAAGATTACAGAGTTACTTTTCTGTATCGAACTTTCAAGTTGCATTAATAATATGCTGCCTCTCCGGGACATAGGCGCACTCATGGTACGAAGGCTATTTATTCATCACATGGAATAGAAGAGCTAGAGGAACAATGGCTTCAAAGGTCTCGTGCTTATACATTTTGACAGTAGTTTGCTGGGCAAGTGCTCTTTGGTACTTAAGTATAACTCGTCCTACTTCTTCCTACACTGGCCACAGACAGCTCAGTAGCATATCCATAGCCAGAAAAAATGTTTCCTTTGGCAACATAAGAACTCGACCTATAAATCCACATTCCTTTGACTTTCTTATCAATGAACCCAACAAATGTGAGAAGAGCATCCCTTTCCTGGTCATTCTTATCAGCACAACTCACAAAGAGTTTGATGCAAGGCAAGCCATTCGAGAAACATGGGGAGACGAAAACAACTTTAAAGGAATTAAAATCGCCACACTATTTCTTCTTGGAAAAAATGCAGATCCTGTGTTAAATCAAATGGTAGAACAAGAAAGCCAAATTTTTCATGACATTATTGTGGAGGATTTTATCGACTCTTATCATAATCTTACTCTGAAAACCTTGATGGGGATGAGGTGGGTAGCAACGTTTTGTTCAAAAGCAAAGTATGTTATGAAGACAGACAGTGATATTTTTGTAAATATGGATAATCTCATTTATAAGCTGCTCAAACCTAACACCAAGCCAAGGAGAAGGTACTTCACTGGTTACGTTATAAACGGAGGACCAATAAGAGATGTTCGCAGTAAGTGGTACATGCCAAGAGATTTGTATCCCGACAGCAATTACCCGCCCTTCTGTTCAGGCACTGGCTACATTTTTTCAGCTGACGTAGCAGAACTGATTTACAAAACCTCCCTTCATACCAGACTTCTTCATCTTGAAGATGTGTACGTTGGACTCTGTCTTCGGAAGCTGGGTATTCACCCCTTCCAAAACAGTGGCTTCAATCACTGGAAAATGGCCTACAGCTTGTGCAGGTACCGCAGGGTGATCACAGTGCACCAGATAACACCGGAAGAAATGCACAGAATTTGGAATGACATGTCCAGCAAGAAACATCTTAGATGTTAAAGATTTTTACAGATGTAAATAAGTTTTTTTTTAATTTTGGTTTAGTCTGGTTATTTTTTGACAAAGCGATCTGCCAATTTACAGGTTAAACTGTGGGATATTAACGTGAGAGGATTTTTAATGACCGATTTTTCATTCTCGTTTTGTTTACTGGTTTACAGACTTCAGGCTCTTTTCATAAGGACGTTACACCAACTGAAAGGATCTAGAGCCAATCTCAGATTTTGTATATTATCCTCTATCACACATATCAGCTCCTGCATCTGTATATTAAAGGACAGTCATAAATTATTATAAGCTGCTTAACAGTTCATGCCCCAGCCTCTGAGATAAGACTCAGGCCCTAAGAAATGAAGAATTACAAACATACTTTTATTCCTTTTTATTCCTTTTTCGACACTCTACAACCATCTCTATTTAGAGCTTTGTTAATAAATTGAGAGGTATACATTTGCACTGACATTATACACCTATCTTGACATGTATATTTTATAGTACAATGTGTGCAATTCCCAAACAGCTTACTGATGGTATAATAACAGAATTTAGATGGGTAAGAACATCAAAGTCTCATAGGCCTTAGAAACAAACCCACTCACTGAAGTACATTTTTATCCACCAAATGGTATTCCTTTAAATTATTTCAGAAGATACCCCATTTCTTTCCACTGCTTAAACTAGCCCCTAGAAGATCTAATACACTTTCAAAAAGAAGTAGAATCTGTAGGTGAAATAAGAAAGGGGAGATGTATGAAAAACTATCTTAAAAATACATTAGAAAAGTATTACTATCTTTTAACTTTCAATTTCAAAGCAAGTACAATGTTTCTCTTTAGTATCTGTAGAACTCTCCACTAAGCGTCTTGCATAGCAATATATAATTATATTGAATGATAAAAGTGTCAATAAGCAGTGTATTCCTTCAACATCAGTCAATGCACTATTTACCTTAAAAAAGTAACAAAAAAAGCTTAAGGGTAAACTCTTCTTTTTACTACAGTACATATATGAATGAGATTCTACCAGATTTTTAATGGTGTAGAAAAGTAAAATTTTTTCCAATAAAAGAACACAATCAATTTTCTGTGGATGTGGCAACAGAGTACCCAGCAGTTACACACAACTTTCACAGCAAAACAGAGGGCTTTTAAGAATCACCTAAAGAAAACCAAATTCTAGCCTTTGTTACAAATCTGCAGCTGCCAGGTTACTCATCACAGAGCCAATACTCACTAAGGTCCTACTCGAGAGCACCCCAGATCATGCAACAGAAATCAAATACAGAAGATTTTATTCAAGTTTCATAACATGCTTATGTATTTTGAATACAAATGTTAATGAAATTCCATGAAGATTATTTTCTGGAAAATTCTTTGATAAATTCAAGCCATCTCTGTTCAGCACCACCTTCTAACAAAAAGCTAAAATATGACGTTGATCAGCAAACAATGTGGAATGAAGAATTCCCAGACAAGTTACAAAGATACAAAACTCACCAAATTCATTACTAGCTGTAGATTACTCACACTGTCCACAGGACCCACAAAAATCTCATTCATTTCAGCTGGCATTATGTGTAACATGAAAAACTGTTGAGTCTGTACATTATTCAGGATGTCTGTAAAGTTGTCAGAAATTAACTGAATAGGAATTTAAAGGAAAACTCTGACCTGATTTTGCCATAGGTGTACAAAGCACTTTACAACAGTAACAGAGGAATGAAGACGATACCCAAAAATATTTGCAGTTTCACAACAAATTGTTATCCACAGATGCAGCACAACCATTTTGAAAAGAACTGCTTGTAAGTAAGGTAAAGTGTACCTGGCCTTCAAGCCACAAGCAGTAGTTGTTTCCAACAAATCTATTTCAGATCTAAAGGTGAAGCTACAAAACAGCCCAGGAGTTACTGTTAATCAACGGGAGCCTGTGCACCCTTCCTAAATGAAAATTGGTAGTTTTATATGAAAATACTGAAACTCTTGCAACATAATTAAGATTTATCCTTCCCTAGTTGGCCTAGTCCTTGTTAAAGTTGCTCTTGCTTCCTGTTGAACTTGAAACTCTAGCTAAACAAGGTCCAACTAATTGCATAGGTGAATATATAACACACACACTGGTTGTGCGAAGTTGCACTTTCCTTACCCAAGCCCCAGAATATGCTTGTTTAGGAAGGGAAATGAGGGTGGAACTCATCCCCAGCCTTTGGGTAAATCAAACAGCATGGATGCCATCCTACCAGGAACACACTTTGTAATAATTTCAACCCACAGGCTGCAATCACTTCTGCTGTCCCTCTGCTCTGTACAGAAATTTGGGGTTTCTGAATCCACAACTAAACGGATTTGGTGGCCTTCTCCTGCTGATGCTTTTGTGGCCTTTGGTTATTAACCAACAGGACAGCAGGGCTCCCAACCCAGATACCTCAGGGCTCAAGTAGCATGGTAGCCTTGAATTTCTCCTAGTACACGTAGACTGCACTAATGATTGGAAGGTACACCTTGAAAATAGTATCTGAAAAAAATATATATTTCCTGCCATTTATAAATAGGTAGATATTCAAAAGAAATGTAAATGTTCATCTTGAAACTGATGTACATATTTCTAAGGCATTTTCTTCTGTATTCAGTTGTATATATGTGTAGAGTCTGCTTGCTATGTAGTATTCTGTTATGCATGGAGCTAAGTTAGGCGCTATATTTGTCCAGTGTTTCAAGAGCCTTAAGCATGTGTGCCCTAACTTTTGAATGTACAAGATTTTTTTTCTTTTATTGTCAAGTGGATTTAGAAGAACACAACAAAAGCCTAATTTTCTATTTTATTAATTTTCTGATACTAGACTTCACTAGCTTGTTACACTTAAGTAACAGCTTTATTGTTTTCTCTCTGCTCAGAAATTGCAGTATTGCAACCTGGAGCTAGAAAGGGAGCAATACGCCTACTCATAGGGACAGCTTGCTGTCTCTTCCACTCAGTAGTATTTGTGCCACATGGGGTACTGTTAACAAACAAGTGTTTGTGTTAGGCTTCCTTTAATCAAAAGAAATATGTGTTACTTAAAGGTCATTTTGTTTCACTGGGCATGGGACAAAATAAAAACTTGGTTAAGACCTGCTGGCTTCTAGTGACTTCAGAAGTGTGACTATAATCACATTTTGATTCCAAAACATACATGAACAAAGCACATTGAGCAAAGAAGCTAGGGGGAAAATGCCTCTCTTTAGGAGGAGCTTTTCACAAAAGCATTTTTTTGCTAAAACTGTGTCAGTATTTAAACAGAAGTCTCAAGGTTCATTTTCCATCTTTCCTAATGATAACATTAAGTACCAACTTTGATTCTTTATTGGGATTTTTTTTTTTTGTCTTTATAATGTAGATGGCAATGGCAATTTGTAAATGAAGAGTGTAATTAACTAGAAAAGCTTGTCAACAGTAACCAAACTTTAGGTGTATCATTATATATGACTGGCTGTACTTATGTATTTATTTGTCTAAATTGTATATATTGTTTTATCTATAGTGTCTGTAGGAGTGCATTCTTTTAGATTAAAGTATTATTTACAGTTTTGTGGGATTGCCAGCAAAGCTGCTAATCAAGATACTATTTTTTTGTATCAATGTCAAATAATAAAAAAAATTAAGAACAAAATCAAATGAGAAATTGAAGGTGTCCTGTAAGTTTTCTTCTTCACTTGTTTCTAGAAATGCAAATGGTATTATCTGAAAACACAATAGCACTGAATAGGCTTATTTGTCATGAGGAAGAATATTGTGCCATAAAAGCAGACTATTAAAAAAATAATTGGAAAAAATGAACACAACAAAATGTTACTTTTATTCATTATTTATGCAACAACTTCACCTAGCTGATGCCCACACTGATCAGGTGTACTACTTCATTTGGCAGCAAAGACTTAATCTTAAAACAGCCATGGCAATATCTGGCAAATCAGCAGATGCACTCATCTGCTTTGCCCTATTCAGCTGCTTTGGCATATCCAGCTAATGAGACTGAAGTTTGGCAGTTCTAAGGCAGTGAAGCTGCTTGACTCCCTTGGCTCTGCAACATGATTCTTTCATGACCTCCATGGTATCTTAATGTGTAAGCTTGCAGTCATCAAAAGCTACACAGAGAAGAAAAAAGAGAAGGTATAGGTATCTCAAAACCACAATAAACTCACTTTGAAGTTGCTGTGTGACTGCTGGGAGGGTCCCTGTACAGAGAGAAGGGGTCCTTCCCTGGCCTCTTAGAGCCACATGCTGACCCTGACAGAGCCTTTGGCTTCCCCAAGCCCCCAAAAAGCACCAAGAAATAAATGAAGCAGCATAATCTGAATACACCCAAATCATCTAGTTAGCCTCATGTAGTGTTTGTCTCCCAATACTATTAAGATGCTGTTTTGTCCTAGGAAGGCCTGGGCAACCTCAGGTTCTTCACATCAAAATAAAAACACAAAGCAAAACAAAATAAAAGCAAGACAAAGTCCCTTTTATTGTATGAACTAGTCAAAATAAGTCCTCTTTCTCTTCATTCTCCCCTTTGCAGTTTCTTATGTAGAATGAAATACATAATCTGTTTGACTACTGGTTTCAGAGCTCAGTAACCCATGCTCCTGAGAAGAAATGTAGCTTTTGCGAACCAAAGTGTATTTTCTTTGGGTCACCTGTTTCAGAAGCAGCTGAAGCTTGATACAGAGTCCTCGGGCATTCCAGGAGTGCCTGCAGCAATGCACCATCCTTACAAATCATAGTGAGATGCTTTAAAACAAGAGTTTCACACACAGTAAAAACCCCTCCAATCATTTTCATTTTTCTCTCATTTTCACCATAGCAGGCTAAGTCTAATTGCAACACTGACATGGATTTAATTAATATACAGCTTGGAGATATACAGATATTAGCAGTAGTAGGGTGGATTTCATGTAACTTGATTATCTTAATTACAAGCATTGTATTTTCTCATTTACTTAATTGATTGTCATAGATTCCACAAAAATCTGCACTGCCCTAAGTGAAAACAATGTGTGAAAAAAACCTTAAAACTGCTGAAGTTGGCCTACTCAAGCAGCAATGTGCCAGAAAAGGAGATCTGTATGACGTGAAACATTGTACTGAATATCTGCTTACTTTCCTCTTGTTAAAAATAGGAATTTATTATACGGTAGAAAAGTCATCCAGGGAAAAAAATGAATATGCCTTATTGATTCAACTGCACCTGTAATAGAGTTGTCTCAAGTATTTCCTCTGA